TTTATCAATTCATCGTCAGTTCATTCATTCACTTCCATTCATTCTGTTAATATATCAATAGATGTAAGGACATTTTATTGGGTGAATCCATACATAGATAGAAATGAATGTAACATTCATTTATTCACCGCAGTTTTAAAAGTCAGCATTTCAACATAATCAATAGACTCATTTGCAAATAATGAAGTAAACCTCTCATCAATCAATCCATTCAACCATTCAGTCAGTTCAAATCATCCATCAATCCTATCAGTGTTTCTAAAAGTAATGTCTGCATTGTTACAGGAAATTAAAGGTCATCTTCTTTGCCCTGTTTATATTCTTACTGGCGGTAAGTTAGCCAAATAATTATAAACAGCCATAATCTACTAGGGTAATATCACTTAAACCGTGCAACTGTACAAACTAAATAGTAGTTCTGTTTAGTTGTATTTAGTAAATYGTGCATGTGGTACGCAAATTAAGTTGAATTGATACAAATGAAGCATTCAATACCGTCTTGCTTCAGGTCCACTTTTAGTACAAATTAGTTCTACTTAGAGTTGCACAGATTAAGTGCAATCACTCTAGTTTGAAGAACTTAATATCATCTTTTCATTATTTTTCACTATTAGCTATACCACTGGCTAGAATACGTCAAATCCTAGAATTYGATCAAGTTATAAAACCTGAAACGGTAAGAAAAATAAGGAGGTATAAATGTTATTTTTAGTTTTGTACATGAACAATGTATAATAAAATGTTGTAAGGGTAATATAGTGATTTAAAAAATACTGACTTATTATCTTTTCATTTATTTGTTAAGTCTTGGAAGAAATGGGACCATTCAATTGAACAGGAYAACACAAAATGGGAATTTGAACGGGATGTAAGTTGAAATGACTGTAACAGTAGTTGGTCAGAATTTTACAGGAGAGATTTGTGTTTAGCTCCATGCATACTACAAGCAAGGATATCTTGTTTTGGCTTGTTATTTTTTTTGTCAATTGTCTCAACTTTTAATTAGCGTGCAGTTTTTTTTTTTGTTTGGTTTGATTATTTCAATCTAGTAAACTTTATTAATTTAATTCTAGCTTGTTGATATTCTTGGTGAGCCTACATACTGTGAAATGACATGTCCTTTAAGATATGAATCAAACAA